GGGATATTTATACTGCCTGATATTTTTTGTATTTCATTTTGTTTACAACTACAAGCACCACTTTTCATTCCATGGACAAAACCTCAGTTTGGAACCCTAATGTCACCATGAAATCAAAATTCTCTGACGTGCTTTTCGGCATGGGGGCGGGACAACCTGTCACTCACATGAGATCACAGCAATAGCAAACCACAACCATCCAATTCACAATGGACAAAATCAAGTCCCGCCCTAAATTTTTCATTTGGATAAACGTCACAAAAGGGAAGAAAAGACTATCATAACTTCGGTTTCATGCCGACTTTAAAGTCACCATGAAATCAAAATTGACAATTATTGATTGTTGTTTTTTATTTTTTATATTGCAGTATTTATTATAAATGATTTATCCGTGCACATTAATCTTTTTTTTTATTCATATGCCCTTGTAATCTGTAATCTAAATGACTTCCCCTTACTCCTGCAACAACATCTCTTCTCTTCTCTGATGATGTGTTTACAGGTGTGAGGGCCGGACAACCTGTAACTCACATGAGATCACAGCAATAGTAAACCACAACCATCCAATGATCCAATCAATTCTTGATGGACAAAATTAAGTCCCGTCCCAATTCTTGTACAAGAAGCCGGATCACTCGGATATCAATACATTCTCACTTCCAACTCGTCACATATTGATGCTTTGTCAGGACCCCCCAGCGTCACTTTTTAACTTTCAGGGTACCTCTTTAGCATAATCTATCAGTACTTCATTGCTTTCAATGAGAAACTTTTGGCATCATACATCATGTTCTGAGGCCAAATTATTGATTTGTGTGAGGAACAGACTAAAAAACTATCAGAGTCTCCATCCGCCGTCAAGCTCTGATGCACACCCATTTAAAAATGGTCAGCTTTGATTGTGAAATGCCATTGTGTGTCTCGTCACTGATTGCGTCATGCTAATGTTTGGATGTATCTTTTGAATTAGATATGACTGAGTGCATGCGTTCACGCAGCGGGATCATTTTCAGCGACTAAAACCATAAAGGGTTAGTTCACCCAAAAATTAAAATTATGTCATTAATGACTCACCCTATTTTAGATTTAGTAAGACGCTGCTGATGTGTTATCAGTGCGCCCAAGCTTCGTTTACAGTCTGAGGGAGACGCACGCTGTAAACAAAACAATCTTCGCAAACATGTCTAAGGATTTCGACACAGAGGAAGACTTGCATTTTTTTGCCCAGCCATATTTATTTGAACTCGAATACACGGACGCACCGGATAACACGTCAGCAGCGTCTTACGTCATCAGCGTCACTGCGGACCCGTGAACGCGGATTGACAACAGAACCGGAAGACAATACAATGCTGAATAAAGTCGTAGTTTTTGTTATTTTTGGACCAAAATGTATTTTCCATGCTTCAAAACATTCTAACTAACCCACTGATGTCACATGGACTACTTTGATGATGTCTCTATTTCCTTTCTGGACAAGGACAGTATACCGTACATACGTTTTCAATGGAGGGACAGAAAACTCTCAGACTAAATCAAAAATATCTTAAACTGTGTTCCGAAGATGAACGGAGGTCTTACGGGCTTGAAACGACATGAGGGTGAGTCATTAATGACATAATTTTCATTTTTGGGTGAACTAACCCTTTAATGCTGCCTTCACATCCTATTGTCCTAAAAATGTCCTAATTCCCACTTCTGAAGTTGTGATTACGAGCTCATAGCATTCAAGTGCTTTGTTGTCGAAAAGAACAGGAATCATGGAGGACCCCGGGTTTATTCTTGCCTATTTATTGGGAAAATCTTTTTAAAGTCCGTGTGAAATGAAAGCTTTAGCATAAGTTCTGCTGGGAAGACATAATTGTTACGTCACTTATTACCTTCTCATCTATCCAATCGTGTTCTAATACTTGTGGTATAAAAGAGGTACTTACCGGTACTCATGTCTGAGTTCGCAGATACTGACGCTTCCATTCACCTCCATCCTCCCCACCACCTCCATGATGGTTCTTCCCCTCCATCCTCACCCACCACCACCAGGATGGTCCCTCCCCATACCTCACAGGGGGTCGGCTGCGCCCCTGCCTTCGTCTTCAGGCAGGAAATGCAGAGTCCGGACCCTCGGATTGCGAGCTACGGGGCCTACGCCAAAGAACTTTATATCATAATATTGCTTGCTGGGCTGTTAATAAATGGTTAATTGTTACAGTATTATTCTCCCAAGTCTTTCTGGTAGAACTGGAAGTTGCAACTGACTTTACTTCAATGTGTTATGACGTATTTCCTCCTCTCCATCTCCCTCCACGGTTGGAGGGGAGTGGCTAAGTATATTCAACCCAAGCCGTTAAACTGATGTCATAAGAGAGGGAACGCCATTCCATTGATTTTGATTAAAAGTTTACCACGACAAACCACTTTTTTCACTTGCTCGGGTTAATTGTTCACCACAAGACTTGTGCACTAACAAAGTAAATAGTGTCAATTTTGATTTCATGACGACTTTAAAGCCAAAATCATATTTAGCGTCCCATTCATTGACTAACATATAAACATTCACAGACCACGCTATCTATATTGTTCTGGAATTTGAGTCAAATACAGGCTATTATCGCTGTGGATAAAACATTAGGCTTCGGACGAGTATTCATGTATATAAATATGCACTACTTTGCATACGATGTAGCTGTGGTGGAAAAAACAAATAAAGAATAGCAGTCACAGCAGCATTCGTTCTCCTCTCCGCCATGTTTAAAGTTTAAGGCACGCCCAACTATAAGGAACTTGGATATCAGAATTATCCCTCGAGCTTCCCAGTGGTAAATATGACTTGAGAGAGCGTTCATGTCCAATTTTTAACTATGTGAAGGCAGCGTAAGTTCTACTGTTTTTCATATAAAGATATCTTGGAATGCAATACGAGTTGTTTGTAGGCTATATTTTATACTGTTTTTTTAATCAGTTTTTGCAATAAATACCTGTAGCCTACTTATTTGCCTGTTAAGTGTTTTATATTGTTGAGAAGAGGGTAGGTTTAGAGTAGGAGTGGAGTTACGGGCTCTAAAATATCTATAAAAAATATAAATATTTATACAATTTTTTTCTCTATTACAAATGCAAAGAAACGCATCTTGATTTGACACATAAGGCAAACAACTGAAAGCCATGGAGTACCCTGCACGTCGAAAATGAAGCAAAGTGACGCCAAAGGGTCCTGACAAAGCATAACTATGTGACGGGTTTGGAGAGACTTCTGTTTCATACAAACTTAAAGGGATAGTTCAGCCCAAATCATTAAGAATTATGTCATCATTTGCTCAACCTCATGCCATTACAAATGTGTATGACTTTTCTTTGTGTAACACAAATACTGTATATATTTGTTTAAGTGTTTTTCCACCCATACAATAAAACTTAGTTGATCCAGTGTGGTTTTGGACTCAACTGACTTTCAGTGAATGGTCAGAAACAGTTCTTCAAAATATTTTTTATTGTGTTCCACAGAAGAAAGAAAGTCAAACAGGTTTTAGAACAACACGAGAATTAGTACATTTCTTCATTTTTGGGTGAATTATCCTATTAAAGAAAAGGGAATCGCTAGACCCGTTCCTAAGGTCTTTAGATAACTGCGTGAGAGGAAACCTGCTATGCGCCTTTAAATCGACTTACAATGTCATCACTCAATATTTTTTATGTCTCCCAAGGCTGATTTTATTACCACATGATGGGGTCAATAAACCAATCCCTGACTGTAATCGGCTCATTACTCACAGAAGTAGATTGCACCTACTGAGCTATATCTTTCTTTTGCTTCCCAGCTACCTCTAAAACTCTGACTGGTTGCTCATAAACTCTCGGAAAGCACTGGGGCTCCACAAAGCAAAGAAAATCAGGTGACCTTACACAGGGGTCAATGCTTTAGCAATTAAAAACAAATCAAACTATTCTTGTATGTCTTTACGCTCCATATGCCTCATATATCTGTTGACCAAATATTATTCTGTTTAAGAACGATATAAAAGTTGTATTCAATGTCAGACAGAGCATCTCTGAATTAAGTAGTTAATGTGTGCATGATCTGAAATACAGTGCCACCTATTTAATCACAATTCTCTAAGACAAACAAGCCCTCACCCTTCTCATTGAAATTCAGTCACTGTCTGTTTAATTACTGTATTGATTGCCTCCTTACCTTATGCCCAATACTGTGATCCTAGGATCAGGTCAGATGTGTTTGCCATGTATCTGGTTAGATGAGGCAAGTCACAGAAACCGGTTCTGAATCATCTTAGCAGTTTGCAGCTGTGAATTGTAGGTGCATGTATCGGGAATCTATCTATCTATCTATCTATCTATCTATCTATCTATCTATCTGTATCTTAAAGCCATTCACTTTCTGCTGCATTTTAATGGATTATTCATGTGAAGCATCCACCCAGTTTTGTTCCATGTGCTTGCTCTTATACATAAAAAAAAAGAACGTTACTTAATACATGTGATAGAAAAGTATGAGAGTGCTTCACAATATTAAGTGCCAACTCAATGTGAATTACACGTAATGTGTTGTCCTCTCGTATACGCTGATACTCGTAAGTTACTCGTGTACGCACTCAATGATCTGTTTCATCAGTGGATATGAAATATGCTAGTGCTGAGCTGAAAAGCATTTATATTTTAAAAATGACAACCACGCATATTTTATATAAAACATGAAGTACGGCAAGAGATTATTTAATTGTATTATTGACAGGCCGTTTTTGTGACTGGATGATATCAACATAACAGGCAGTTGTTTCTGTAATGTAATGCAATGAACGCGCCGTTTACGACTCTAATGGCAAAACACTATCACCATTTCTTTCAACAGGTTCTCATTGAAATTAATAAGAAGTCTAGTTTTTAAAGCAACTATGTAGGCCTATCCATTAAATGTGCTATTCAGGTGAAGCCAGGTGTTTTTGTGCATCGGCAACAGGTAAAGCAATTTACATGTTATCTCTTACCTTATAATAACATACATGACGAGGACGTTGCCCACTAGTCCCAACACACACACTATAGAATATAACGTAGTGATGATGATCGCCACTATAACAGGAGTTGCGCCTTTGTCCAGCTCAGCCGTCCTGTCACATCTGGAGCTGTTCATGTTCACGAGACTGGAGCTGCTGAAGTTTCGGCAGAATACACTGCTATTCGACATCACTGGGTTAGAAAGCGCATAGAGAAGGTCCGAAATGTTGCCAGTGGTTTCCATGGCAAATGCTGTACGGGTGAGATTCGCCCAAGTTCTTTACGCGCGCGCGGTTTATCAGTCACGTTCTTTGATATCAATACCTGTCCGACTTCAAAATGCTCGGAGTCTCAACTCTCAACCGTTCTACTGAGGCAGTCTGCTGCTGCTGCTGCTGCAAGTGTACCTAACAGTCCCTTTTGTTTATGACTCTATGTTAAATCTATCACCGCTGTTCTTACATTACCCTCGTGAAATTGTATCGAGCGTCGCTCATAGCGCGTATTCGCATTTTATTCACCAAAATGACGTCACATATATATGCACATGACTAGAGGCTTTTCAGCAGTCGCTGATGGCTTTTGCAGTGATTCCAGCACTTCACTCTCTCAGTGAAGCTGTATGAATTTACAATCGCTCTTCTGCATCTGCATCTCCAGCTGGGTTTACGGCTTAATGCCATATTTACAGGATGCGAATAGGCTTTAACTATAAAAAAGGAAATGAAAACAAATGGTTGAGGTCGTAAAAATACATATTCTTTTATGAGGATATTCAGTTCAACGGGGTTTTCATTTTCGTAGCCTCAAAAGTGTAAAGTAAAAGTTAAACAAAGCTCATATTTTCACCTGGAGATAAACAGAAAATCTGTGGTAACCATGGCAACAGTAGAAGCTTGAGAATTATTTTTGTTATCTTCAGCATGGAACATTGACAAAACTGTTGCAATATAGCTACCTGTATTGTCATTATTTATCACTTAATTATAGATTTAAATATCATTATAACAACACCTGTTCTCCTCACATCAGTGTTGCACATTTTACAATAAATATGAATTAATAGCTACTGATTTGGCTTTTGTTTTTGTTGTTTTTCTAGGGCAAAATGTAGGGAAATGTTTATTGGCTTTTTTGATGCCTATTTAAGGTATGTGGCACATTTACTTTAAACTGACCATGATATTATTTATTTACAATATTAATTTACTGTAAGTCAAATATTGTATACCAACACTTGTATTAAATGGGGTTTTTTCAGTTAAGGATAAAATGAGTAATTGGCACAATTTGATATTATATTATATTATATTATATTATATTATATTATATTATATTATATTATATTATATAAGATTATAGTCATGTAATATTTCAAGGAGATTCAGCATGTAAATAATCTGCTTTCTGATTTTGCTTACAATTACAGACACAGATCCATTTTAAACATTGATATAAATGTCACATTTAGCTGTGCCTCCATTGGTGTGAAATAAGTTGTCTGATGTGTTTCTGTCTCTGAATGTCTGAATGTAATGAGTGCTGTCAGTGAGCGCTGTCTGTGATTGCTTGTGTCTTTCATAATTTCTTCTCATGTTCAGATGAGCGGAAGGAAAAACAATTCCTTTCCTACACAACACAGTTAATTTTTTTCATTTCTAGGGTTCTGTTGAATAATTAATAATAATCAATATTAAAAGTAATTTAAAAGGAACAATATTTTAAGACATAAAACATTAATAGAACGTATTTATATTTCAAGATCAATCCACCCGTCCATCCTTACCAAAATATAATAATGCAGGGCCCTTGGATTTTCAATATAAAACAATAGTCTTTTCAAATGACTTAACTGCCACTAAACTCTGCTTTGAACTTAACAATATAGCTTATTGATATATTGGGGCTGAGAGACATAAATATTTTACTGATGGTCTCGAATGATTGTAATGATTTGTGCACAGGCCACTGAATCTTTTGAATCCAATGAAAGGTACAAATGACTAATACAAATTAGTTTCCCTCCATCAAAGAGAAGAAGGACTCAGAGTACTCCTTCATTTTAATGTTTTATGTTATCATGTAATTCTGTTAGTATCAGATGTCAGGTGTTGCAAAGTCCAAACTAATCTAATAGTAATTGATTTTAATTATCCTAATGTAAATGTCTGTGACATCACTTTCCTTTGAGAGTTTTAAGCAAGAAATTATGTTCTGAGGACATGTTGGGTGAGCATTACCAAGCATTACTTTAATGTAATTTCAAGTATGATCCGTCATGCAGAAACTAGTATGCATAAAGGTGCAAAAGAGATGTGACATAATTTAATTTAATCCAATTATATTCTGGCACCTGGGTTGCTGAAACAGCATTTGCACAAATGATGTTTAACAGAAGTACACACTGTTCACATAAAACATTTTTTTCATGCCTTTGAGGTGTGCCTGTGTGATTTGGTTTTACAGTGCATCTTTTGAGTCATCTCGTCCCTATAAGACTTCAAAAATACTTTCCTTGGACAGCCCACTTCAGCTAACCTAATACAATATTTAGCAGATTTTTGCATATTGCAAATTGCTAATGTAACCTGGCCAATACGTTCAATCTATTTTAATTCAAATACTACTGACTACGCCACCTTGGGAGTTTCACCCAAGGAAGTAAAGAAAGGAACTCAGGTTCGGTGGTGCAGTGAAAAGGCAGAGTCGCTTCATACAATGAATAAATTAGTGGTTTTATTTGGTTAAGAAATCCATTCGACTGGCATCGTTTAAGCACAATATAAATAATGGCACGTTTATTTAAACAGTAAAATTAGCATCATGTTAAGAACAAGGCATTCCTCCTGACACACTGGATCCAGACACAGAATCACATCAAATTCACAAATAAAGAAATATACAGTTCCCACGAAAGCAAACAAAGAAAATAATTAACAAAATTAACAACCATTACAAGGCGTACGTTACCTTGGGGGTGGCAGCCTAGCAAAAAAACAAATGTGCCCTCAACCACTTAAGTGTGCACAGCAAACAAAAATGGGAAGGCGTGCTCCACCCAGGTGCTCCACACTCACAACAAATGTGTTCACCCAAGTGTCTAGCCTCCCCCTCAGCGTACTCAGCCTTGACCAGAACCAAAAAGAAACAAAGAAAAATTAGTGGGAACAGTACTATTACAAAATCACCCCAAAATTCACTTAGACACAAATATCAGATGGTTGACAGAATTAGTTGGCGCGCAAATAATCCGCCTATCTCGTCAGCGTTGCGGTCCCTAAATACAGAGGCAGGCGGTGGTTAGACGGAAAATACACACTGTGATATGTTTACACCGCGCGGCCAACGGCCCAATCATACTAGCCAACCAACCTTGATGTTGAAATAAACTAACCCAAACCAAAACGAAATGCAACCAACCAAAACAAAAAAAGGGCTACTAAAGTTAAACTTAAGGGAAACAATCTCCCATCACACAAAACACGAATAACCAAATCATGAAAAACAGCAGCACGACCTGAGTTGACCACCACATGGTACGCAGAGACTGCAAAATAAAACAAAACAATCAGTCAATGATTTGTTAAAAAAAAAAAAAAAAAAAACCTTCCCGAAATCATACATACCACACAATTACACGCACATCGCGTTGTCAGGATACATTCGCGGATGTTCTGATGAGACACACAATAATCCCCATTAAACTCGACTAACACCGTAGAAAGCCACCACAACATATTGCGATAGCCAACATACCTTAAGCTTTCAGGTGAGTGCTTGACGCCACTCCGAGGGCACGTCGTCGAAACAACTACAACAGTCACTTCAGAAATAAAACACATACTCTAAGCATTTAAAAACCACATGAGCCGTGCACAACTTCCGTCACCTACCTCAACTATAGTGATCCTGAGAACCGGACGAGGGGCGGGTATGACGCAGCCTACGTTCTAGGGCTTCCCGTCTACGCACTTAAATACACCGCCCATTTACCTCATCCAACCCCATCCCATATAAGGGGTCGTGACGCAAACAGGAGACGGGACATCCCCTCCTACTACATTCCACCCCCCCCCCTTCTTTTATCGGCGCCCCGACGATAAGTCGATTCAAACAGGAAAAGTAGAGATGGAATTAATGGCTAAACTAATGTTGAACCCGGCTAGCGCCAGGGCCTAAACAAAGCCGGAACGACCTGAGATGCAACCCTGGAAGAGCAAACAGTCCCACCAGCGCCCCCCTGTACGGTCTGAGGAAGATGGTACAAATTAGAATGTTGTCCAGCAGTCAAGCGAGCCGTCCGTCGCAAGGATGGTCGGGTCTCCTCAGGCAAGGTTGAGCCTGGATGGTCAATTAGGGCAATAGGAGGGGTCAACGGCCTTGCCTCCTGGGCATCTGGCTGCACCGGAGGCAACCTGGCGACCTCTGTTACTGTCGACAGATTACAAGAGTCTCTCACAGGGCCAGCACTTGAACTGGGATCATCCGAATTTGCAGGTAATACCAGCCACAAATCCTCCTCATTACCATCCTCCTGGGATGGCTCCAGTGTTGCGGGTGGTCGATCCTGAGGAGTGTTCTGGGGCTCTGGCTGTAGTTGTGCTTTCGGCATTGTCCGATGTACATGTCGTACCTTCCCAAGATCGTTCACCGGTGCGATCGTGTACACCACTCCCTTATCTTTAGGTACCTTCAGCACCTGATAATCCACAGAGCTCCACTGATCTTGAATTTTGTTCCGGCCCCTTACCCCAACATTACGCAGGTAAACGCGCTGACCCTCAGATAGAGGCATTTCCTTCACCCTCTTATCGTGATAGTCCTTGCGGCGTGCGGCAGCACTTGCCAGTCTCTCTCTAGCCCCCTCAAATGCGACCTGCAGTCGGGTCTCATGTTCCTGAATCCAGTCATGTACCGTACCAGTCCCCGACTACCGTACTCTGCCCAACAAGAAGTCTACCGGTAGCTGGGGATCTTGACCAAACAGCAAAAAGTGTGGAGACTCCCCAGTTGACTGATGTGGAGTAGTATTGTAACAGAAGACTAGCTGCGGAAGGCAGGAGGCCCAGTCTCTTTTTCTTGTGGCAGGTAGGGTGCGCAGCAAGTTATGCATGGTCCTATTGAAACGCTGACATTGACCGTTGCCAGCGGGGTGGTACGGTGTGGTCCGTGAACGTGTAACTCCATACAACCGGCAAAGCTGTTGAATTAGGTTGCCCTCGAAACTACGACCCTGGTCGGAGTGGAGACGACTAGGCACCCCGAACTTGCAAAACCACTCTGTCACGAGAACCTGGGCCACCGTAGAGGCCCTCTGCTCCCGGGTAGGTATGGCCACTGTAAACTTACTAAAAATGTCTGTCATAACAAGCACATTTTCTAGGCCGTTATGTGAGGCCTCCAATACGGTGAAGTCCATGGCCAAAATCTCATTAGGCCGTGAAGCCAAAAGATGTCCCATGAAGCTAGGGGTAGCGGGATTCGAATGTTTCGCCACTTGACACCTCTCGCACTCTTGGCACCAGCGCTTTACTTCTG